GGGGCGGTGACGCTGCTCGGGGGATCCAGCCGCAGCCACCCACGGCGGGAGGCGGCCCAGGAGCGGCCAGCGACAGTCAAACAGCAGGAAGATGTGCACGCGTGGGCACAACACTTCGCCCACTGGGTGCGGAGGGCTCAGCGCCAACCCTCACCCGACGGAGAAGAGGATCTCACGTGCTCTGCTGCTGTTCTTCAGAGGAAGGGCAGAGCACAGCGATTTTCCAGATGCAGATGATAACACGCAACGCCCAGTTGCAGCGCTGCAAGCCAGAGACCCTCAACAGCAACCAGGACAGACAGCTCTGTCCTGGGGCTGCTGGACACACAACCACTCTCTGATGTTGGAAGCCTGCTTAAGCTTCCACTTTTTAATCACACTGCAATGCATAAACCAGACAGCAAGGCAGGCTAATCACCGCTGGAACAAAGAGAACCAAGTGAGAACAGACAGGAATGCACCTTCTGCACAAACCTCTCCTTGGGGCAGGTCTGCAGGAAGGGGCTGGGTTTCACATGCTGAGCAACCCACCCTGAAAGGGGTCACAAACCACCTGAACCCCTAGCAGCTACCCTTTGCTTAAAACCACAAAGCCAAAACCTGAAGAATGATTCCCCTGGAGAACAAAGTTATCTGCTTTTGAAATAACACAACTGTCCTGGAGATAGGCAAGATCCTGCTGGAGCTTGGGGGAAGCAAGGAGATGATCCTGCACTCTCCAGCCACTGCCATTAGCTCAGGCCATGGGAAGCTCAAGAGGGCAGCGGCTTTGGGGCCTAGGCTAAGCTTCACGCTCCTCTTCTGCGCCCACGGCCGACAGGAGCACAGCTTCCTCTCCAAACAGCTCCTCACGACTGCTCAGTGCTCCGCTCTGTCCTCTAAGCCCTGCCTCAGCTTCCTCCTCTGCAGCTGGGAATGCACAGGGAAGCAACAGAGCACCGTTAGAGACATGCACACGCTTATTCTCTAGACTGACGCCAAGAAAGTGGTTAACAGGCTGTCCTGGGGGCTCTTGGGTTGGCTGTGAGACAGTCAAGTACTAAGAGCACCAGATCCGCTCACGGAGGTTACCATCTTGGGAGGCTGGCCCTCCCAGGGCAGCTATGGGCACACACAGACCACCCCTTCCTTCCATCGGCCTCTTGAAGCCAGTTTGGAATGGAAAATGTAAAATTAGAAAGGGATGCAAGTGATGCTATGGATTTTCAAGCCTGGCAGCCTCACCACTGCACTCAGGCCCTACTGTCTGTGATGGAGCTTCCAGCCCCAATGCTTCTGCAGAATTCAGTCTTGGGCACTTATGCGTGGGCTGTTCCCGGCAAGAGCTCTTGCAGAGGAAAACAGCTAACCTCCGACAGCGGGGAAAGCATCTGGCAAGCCCTCATCCCTCCTTCTCCTGCAGGGCCCTAGCGATCAAGCACTGGCTTCAGTGAGTCTGCTGCATTTTTAAGAGGATCCCTCCTCTCAAAAAACCTCCACGGAGCTGTGAGGGAAGGCCCGGCCCCGGTCAGGTTCTAGCACAAAAGTCTGCAGGATGTAAGAAGAGAGCAGAGGACAGAGCTCTGCAGGTCACCCAGCTGGCACTGGGACATGAGTTCTATTAGAAAAGGTTATAAATTACCCGACTGTCACCAGTGAATCAGCACTTGGAAATAAATCTATTTCACTTTGATGAGACTCCCTTCATCTTGGCAGGCTCCACCTCCAGCCCACCTACATATCCGCTTGGCTGAACATCTGAACAGACACCCTGTGGGGGGCTGTTACCCAGGGATGTCAGACAGCACGGAGCAAAGCACCGCCTTAGCGAGTCAGGCTCAAAGCAGCCTCTCCCCTTCTCCCCTTGGAAGATGCTGCCTGGGAAGCCCATCCTGTTCCAGGTTGTGGCCCAAAGAAATTTTGAGCATTGGGTACAATTTGAGGCTTATTACAACTCAAGGCCCAACACTTCATTCTTCCATGATAATGCTTCAAAAAAAAAAAAAAAAAAAGCAGTTTCTGCCTAACCAGGAAACAAGGATTCTTCCATGATAATGCTTCAAAAAAAAAAAAAGCAAAAAAAAAAAAGCAGTTTCTGCCTAGCCAGGAAACAAGAGAAAAACAAGGTCTTTGGGTTCAAGATTTGGTAAAACCAGACCTTGCTTTTACTCAGGTCTACAGAAGCCCCCCAGGCCATTGTTAAGGAAAAACTAAAGCAGTTTGGTTAGGCTTGAACTACAGAAACTCAGGCTTCCCTTATCGCAAGGAAGGGTCAGTTGCAGGTACCTCTGTGGTAAAGTAAATCAGCATCCCCACCAACAGTCCTGGAAACCTTCCCTCCAGAACCATGACACCAGGCTGGAGCAATTAATCTGAAAGCCGCGGTCTGTTGATGCAGGCAGTGAGAGCACAGGCAGCGGGACAGGGGGACTGCTGCCGTGGTGGCACAGCAGCGCTGCTGCAGTGACTGTACAGCTGAGCAGCCTTGGTCTTCAGCCTCCCCACAGACGTGCCCGACAGCCTCCTGCTCACAGCTACGTGGCTCACAGGTACGGAGGGGCCAGCGAAGGAAAGCTACTTGATTACCACCACTTTGTAAGAACTGCACGGTTAAAACCACACGCGCCCCTGTACTTACTGGTTGGCTTACCTTAAAACAACAGGAAATCCCTAATAAAGAACAAAGCGGTTCTGTAACCAGATAGTTAGCTAGCAAGGCTGGAGCAGAAAAAAAGGTCTCAGTGTAAGGCTACAAGCACCCTCCTTCCCCAGATGTGCCATCTACTCTGATCACTTGAGTCATTTTAGGGCTCTGCTCCAAAATAACTCAGTCTAGCAAAACTGGCCAAAAGAATTAAATGTGCTGAACAGCAGAGTCCAGCAGGAGCAAGCTATTACTTGATGAGGGAAGGAGATTGGCACATGGGTGACACGCAGGAAGGGGCAGCCTGGTGGATCAAATAAAAGACCAAGGCACCCACAGCGTCACAGCTCACTCGCTATGCGTCACTCACACCACCCAATAATCAATAGTCTCCTCCATCGCCGAAAGGATTATTCAGACCTCAAGGCCTTTCCTAAAAAGCTTTAAACAGTCCAAAAAAAAAAAAAAAAGCCCTACCTGTCCCAGCATCATTCTCTCCTACCTGGTACTGTGAAGTCCTGAGTGTAGATGATATCATCTTCAATGTCATACAAGTCATCATCTTCTTCCTCATTATAGCCATGCAGATCTTCCAGATAAGGCACCGCCGTCATACTTCTCCACTTGTCCTTTGTTTCTGGGCTGGGAGGTATGGGCACCAGAGCCTCTGCCTGAGCATGTTTCTTACGAAACCAACTGCAAAGAGTCCAAGAGCGGAGTTTCATCAGTACAGCTTCACTTCTCAGAAGGCATGGAGAAATCCTTGACACTACGAGACAGTCCCATTCCACCCCAACATTCAAAGGTACATGCAGTTTGTTTATGGAGAACATCCTAGCTGGTTTTATGCCACTGCAGGTGTTTTAATGCGTAATAACCAAGAGAGGCAAGCATCACGGAAGGCAAGTGACAATGCTGCAGGGACACCAACAGCTGGGTAAGCAGCCCCACGAGGTGCTCCATCCCCTGGGTGCTTTGTCAGCTAAGGAGAAACCAACAGCTCTGCCTGGAAGCAGAGTGCAGGAACATGTTCTCCATCACCAACTCAAGCCCAACCTACCTACCTGTAAGACGAAACAGGTTATCAGAGCTGCTAGAGCTCCCGAGTTGTGTTGCCAAAGCAAGCAGAAGAAGAGAAACTCCTATCCTAAAGCTGAGGCTAATCCAGTGCAATGAGACAAAAGGAAGGTTGCAGAACGTCAGTGTGAGGAGTTATGTATTTACTCACAAGCTGCTTTAACAGGCAGTTTTCAACAAGACCACAGAAAAAATGCTTGTACTTTATCTTCTTATCCCACCTCTGTCTCAAAGGGCCTTCTATTACCATTAAAACCTGTAGCCATAGTGCTACCATCTGCCCAGTAAAGGATCTCAGCTCTGAAAGCTGTTCTTAATCAGATCAAGAATCCAACAGGCTTGCCTCACATCAGCATCTCAGAAGCCATATGGGCGGCCTTTATGTTTTTACCGTACTTTCATAGCAGGGTTCCAACACCAGACTGTCTCTGGGGCATCTATCAGCGCTGCATGCGGGCGCGGAGTTTCCCAGCAGTACTGCTGGAACCTCCGCACTCCTACCGATCCTCTCTTGAATGCAGGTGTGAACAGAAGTTCCTCCAGACCTAGGTACCTTTCCAGCCCATGCACACCTCCTGCATTCAGCACGTTCTTCCTGCTGCGGGATGTCTTGCAGGGGGGGTGAGGAGTACCTCGCAGCAGGGAGAATCAGATGCCTACAGCTAGCACAACGAAGAGGCCAGGCAATGGCCATCCAGCCGCTCCCTCCCCAATAAGTGGTGGTGTCCTGGCACCTTTGAAGGTGCTGTGCTGGGCAGCTGGGTGTCCCTGCCATCAGGGAGGCTGTCCTACAGAGGCTGTTACTTACACCGTGCCCTGGAGGGTCATTCTACAGGAAGGAAGGGTCAGAAGACATCAAAACCGCCCACATTTATGACCATCTCCCAAACTGCAGCCTGCTTTCCTGATAAACTTTTGAATCAGCACGGATATAAACCCCCCTATTCCTACGCCGTGGGTTGGATGTCAGTTAAGCCACTGGGGCCTATTCTTCTTGGTCTTTGCACAGTAACAGAGGAAAGAGCAGCCTCACCAGATTAACTGCACTCTTGCACTCACCTTGCTAAATATTACCTAGATGCCAAACTTAAGGTCTCTCTGAAAACACACCTCAAAAGCAGAGCAAGATCTAAAATTATCCCCTCGCAGCACAGTCACTTCTTCGCCTGACGCCTGCTGCCCTAGACAAGCCCGATGCGACATGAGCGCTTCCCCCTCCATAGCTTGCACAGGCATCCAGTAGCTCCTGGCTAATAACCCCTGCGGAAGGCCTGACGCCAGTCACCAAAGAGCTCTTATAAACCTGAACCATCTGGTTTTTATCACTCCAATTCCAAATTCATTTTAGGAAGTAAGGGTTGGATGCACCTCCTGCACAGAAGAACGGTAATTATCATTTTGTTCTAGTCTTACATTGCTTCAACAGTAGGCCTAAAAAAAAAAAAAAGCGGCAAGCTAACAAACTATCCAGCAAAAGCAAGGAGTTGGGAGATAAACAAATGAAAATGTAGCTACGGGGACAAACCAGCTAGGAGTCAAAGGAGGGGTGAACCCCTATCCAGAAACCCTGCCTCACAATTCGCATCCTCAAACTGTTTTCTCTGTACTGATTGAGTTTTAAAGTCAGCTGACTGCTCCGAGGAAGGCAGCATCTCACCGTTCGCAGTAAGAAAGGGTGAAGTAGATCCTACAGCCTAAATTTGTAAAAGGAAGTGTATTTTGCTTAATCACAGAGCACGTCAACGTCATGCAAGGGATCACGTTCCGTCCTTCCGTGCTTACAGTCTGAACGGAGGGACAGCAGCCCAAAGAGCGATGAGGCTGGCACGTTCTGGTTGCACACCGACATGGATCTACGGGCATCTCTCCCCATACTGCAACTGTACTGGAAGCTGCAGCAAAAGCGGCATATTTTAGGGAAGCGACAGAGAACCGCATGCAGATCTAAGTTGTCAGGTATGACCTCTGGTGCGTGAAGGGGCATTACAAGAGAGAAGTAAGTGTCACCCCAGCTACTGGACTCGCAGGAAGAACGTGGGTCCAACAAGATTTGGGCCAATGGTTTTAGCCAACCCAGCGGATGGCTGCCCCAGCAATGTGCGGGGCACACAGCGCTCCCAATTTGATCGTTTGCTTTCCTTTCCTTGGGAGACTGCTTTCATCAGGGAAGCGACTGCCAAGATAGCAAATTCAGCTGAGGCTGATCCAGCCTGGCAGGACCATCCAGCAGAGGAACGGAAGACCCATCACAGCCAGCTATCTTTGCCAGGGGCACTGGAGCTCAAGGGACCCAAACTGAATGCCATGGACCTAAGGAGAATGGGATACACAGGACAAATGAGATCAGGCTGTTACAAAAAGGAGTATTTTAAAGGGAGAAAAGCCTAGAAGTCTACAGCAACTGGTGTTTTTATTTTGCTGTATTTCAGCTCTGCCTCTTTCTTTCTTTCTGTCCTACTTACCAGGAGAGTAAAAATAGGTTTTTATTAACAGCAGAAACCTGAATCACTGTACTCTAGTCATAATGATTCCATCCTCTGGGAGGTGATTTCAAATACTTGCATATGCATATATGGTAATAAGGCTAGAGAGTGAGAAGAGAAATTCATTGAAGTTCTAAGAAAATCAAAGACCTCTTGGAAGGAGCCTCAAGCAATTCTGTACGGAGTAGCAGAGTATTTCCTGGCAAGCAATTTTCCAGCAGGGACAGAGATTCTGCTTTCTGCACTGGTGCTAAATGTTATTAGTGAAGATTTGCTCTTCAGCTGAAGACCACTGGCTCCATCAAATGACCTAATCTGGCTCACAAACCTACTGGCCACTGACTAAGCCAGAAAGAAGCCACTCCCACAGGCGCAACTCTCCCACCGGTCAAAGATGCAGAGGAGAACAGGTCCCTCCTCCCCCTGCCTTCACCACTGACCCTAACTGCAGGCTGGGTTAGAATGCTGCTGACAGAGCACCCCGTTTTTCACCATTTACTCCCAGTTTCAACGATGTTTTCTGAGCCAACTTGCCCTGGCACAGACATAACCATTTACCTGGGGCTTGCAGACTGCTGCTTTAACATCAAGGGAAAAGAAAAGCTTTTGCAGATCTCAAAAGCGCCCCTTGTCCAGAACATCTCTGGGAAGAGGCAGGCTCCTCTCAGGTCTACGAAATGTTTCTGAGCCACCCCCAGCCCTCTGAAACAGCGTGAAGGGAGCGGCAGTAAGAGATCACTTCTTACTACTCCGCAAGCTTGCTGAGAATGCCTGCAAAGCCCAGAAACTCCAGACAGCAGCGGCACAAATACTGTGATCCTGCCAGTTAAGAAGTGGTGTCCAGACAGGTTGCTGTAATCTACAGGGAGATAAGACAGCAAGGGTCAAGGACTGAATGAGAAAAGGAATCTGGGTTGACCAGTGCTTAATGAGCCTGTCTGGTTTGCAGCTTCCAAGCTCGAACTTTACATCAGAAGTCATTGCTCGGCTCTTTTCAAGTTCTGGCATAAGCAAGGTTAAAATAAGAATCAGTAAGCACAGCTGCAGCTTCTGAATACTTACAGCCAATTCACTTCCCATTCTAGGTCACAAATATTTCAGTTTGCTTGTTTTGTATAGGGACAATTTTCTCTGAAACCAGATGCCAAGCTGCAGATCACCACCCTGCCAGCAAGGATCGGTTATGAATGATTCTCTGCCTCCCGTGATACCATGTAAGGGCCGCAAGCTTACTGGAAGGTCACCGGCACCACAAGCAGCAGCTAACAGCATCCTACTTTAATTCAGTCCTCTCGCAGACAGATGTGGAAGGCACACAACAGCACGCCCTGGAGAAAGGCAACACACGCTAGCAATAAATACATAGCGGCGTCCCTACAATCACCGCTCCAACTCCTGTAATATCAAGAGCTGCCCAAGTTCTTAAGCCAGGTTTATAAAAAAAAAAAAAAATAGAAATGAGTAAGAGAGAAGCAGTTTTCCCCTAGCTGATGCCAGGGCCAAAGGTGACCGTTCAGACTCCTACGAGCAGCGGTGCTCTGCGCACAGATGGAGGCTCACATTGCCTTGAACACGCCATACACAGTTTGCATTACGAAACCAATTTGCAGAACGTGGGTAGAACCACCAAAGATTCCTGCCATGCGCCTGCCACAGGGAAGGCAGGCAGGCCCAGGTGCCTCAGCAAGCGAGGAGAGGAGGAGTGCTTCATCTGTGCGCATCCCGCCGAGGGGAGAGGACTGCGTGACACCACGGACAAGGGCTGGGAAAAGCCCATGAGTGCTGCGTGCTGCCGCAGAGGTTAAGCGAAACCCCTCTCGCTCCCACAAATGCAGGCATAGAAGTCGAGGAGCACGCTCAGCACCTGTGAAGGAACCTACAGTGGCCACACACAGAGATTTCCCAAGGGGTTCAGTACCCGGGGTTTGAACAGCATAGCAGAGCATCCAAAAGCTACCCTCCAAACTTCTCGGGAAGGACCCCGGGGTGAGCAAAAGCGCTCAGGAAGGCGGCCCGGCAGCCTCCAGGAGTCAGGAGGAGCCACTAGCCCAGCTGGTTAATTTGCACCTCCACTAATAAAAGGTGGAAGTGCCTTCCCTTTCTTGCTATAAACTCTTGCAATCGTATCTATGACTG